TTTCAAAAGCAGTGGTTTGAAGAATTTCATTGGTTGGAATATAGTGTTGCCAAGGATGCAGCGTTTTGTCACTTGTGTTATTTGTTTGCTAGAGGCCATAAAAATGGGGATGATGTTTTTACTCAAATTGGTTTTAATAATTGGAGGAAGGCCAATGAAAAATTTTGTGACCACGAAGGAACTCCAAAAATCATACATCATTATGCAAAATTTCAATATTCTGGGTTCAAAAACCAAAAGAAAAATGTGGATTATGTATTATCCCAACAAACCAAGAAAGATGCGATTGATTATCGTGTTAGATTAACAATTATTGTTGATATAGTTCGATTCCTTTTAGATGGTGGATTGGCTTTTCGAGGTCACGATGAATCAGATACTTCAGTGCATTTAGGTAAATATATTTATTACATTATTTACATTAATTTATATCTTATTTGTTACATTATTAATTTATAATGCTCATTATAAATTTGTATAAATGTATTTACAGGTAATTTCCTTGAACTCTTGAAATGGGAGTGTAGACGACATCCACATATAGATATGGTAATGAACTCAAACGCTCTTGGGAATAGTCAACTTACCTCTCCTAAAATTCAAAAGGAGATTGTTAATGCGTGTGCAACTGAGGTAAGACAAGCCATTATTAATGAGATTGGTCGCAAGTATGTTTCTCTATCGATTGATGAGGCTCGAGATAGTTCAATAAAAAAGCAAATTTCTGTGGTTTTAAGGTTTGTTAATAACTGTGGGGAGGTAATTGAGCGATTTGTAGGGGTGCACTACAAGAAAATAGGTTATTGCAGTGGTGCATGTCACTTCTGCACAGACACTGAAAATGTCATTGATGCTTGTTTGCAAAGTATGGTCTTTCATTGTATAAGGTCTGAGGCCAAGGTTATGATGGGGCGTCAATCATGAGCGGTGGGATTAATGGCTTAAAACAAAAAAATTTGGAGGAAAATAAGCAAGCTCACTACGTGCATTGTTGCGCTCATCACCTTCAGTTAGTGATTGTGTCCTCTTTGAAGAACAATGGAATAGTTGGTAGTTTTTTGATCATCTAGTCATGATTGTCAATGTCATTGGTGCTTCATGTAAGAGAAAAGATGATCTTTTGCAAAAACATTATGAAAATCTTGTAGGCCGTATAGAACGTGGTGAGGTCAACACAGGGAAAGGGCAAAATCAAGAAAAAGGTCTTGTAAGACCAGGTGATTCCCGTTAGGGATCTCATTATAAAACAATCATCAGAGTTGTAGATATTTGTGGGATGCGGTGATTGAGAAACTTAGCTTGAAGCCATATTTGATGATGCTGTTGATCAGAAAAGTAAATCGACATCTTCTAGTTTGATTGAAAAAATGGCAACATATGAGTTTGTGTTCATTGCTGATTTCATGTTGCGGTTACTAAGAAAAACTAATGTGATATCAAAGGAATTGCAACAAAAGAATCAAAACATAGGAAATGTTGTGGATCTTGTCAAGGTAATCAAGATCGATTTGGAAAGTTATCGGAATGATTATGGTTGGGATTTTCTAGTTGAAGAAGTGACTACATTTTGTTCTAGTCATGGTATTAATGTGCCTAATATGAATGATGTAAAGCCAGGCAGAGTGAAAAGACAAAAAACAATTGATGGTAGCCCGAAAACTTATTACCATTATTTTCATGTTGACATATTTCTCGAGGTAATTTTTATACTTTTATTTCTTATTTAAGTGTATTTCAATTTACTACACTATTTCATTAGTTTTTTTAATGTAGTGTTAGGTTATTGATCGCCTTATGCAAGAGACGAATAACCATTTTACTAAGTTAAGTTCGGAGCTACTGATGTGCATAGCATCCTTAAGTCCTAAAGATTCATTCTCCCATTTTGATTTGAAGCGGCTACCTCGTCTTGTTGAATGATACCCAGATGATTTTAGCTCAAGAGAAAAACATGAACTAAATGAACAACTTAGGTTGTTTCTTACATTTGTCAAATCATCTCCACAATTCTCAAGTCTTCAAAGTATTGGAGATTTGGCAAAAAGAATAGTTGAAATAGAATGGCACACAATTTACAGGTCAGTGTACCGACTCATTGAGTTAGCATTCGTTTTACCTGTTACAACAGCCATAGTTGAAAGATCTTTCTCCACAATGAAGTTTATCAAGAATGATTTGCGCAACAAGATTGGAGAAAAATTCGTGACAGATAGCTTGGTGTGTTACATTGTGAAAGATATTTTTGTTAAGGTTGAGAATGAAGACATTATGAGGCGGTTTCAGAGTATGGGGCCTCGAAGACATAGATTGCCATCTCTCAATTATTCTCCTTCATTTGATGTTTCAGTTGCTAATTAAAATTAAGGTACTATTTCATTAGTTGATTTATTTAAATTTATAGTTTTGTTTATTGCTATATTCGTGATTTATATGATTTCTAGTTCCGCCAGTCATGAGTCCTAGTTTCGCCACTGCATAGAAGTCCAACAAAGGTGTTATATATATATATATATATATATATATATATATATATATATATAGGTTTTGGTTCAAATAAGAAAATGATCTTATGAGAAAAATGAGAATGAATCTGGACCGTTAGATTTGCTTTATGTGAAATTCAATGTGCATTAGATGAAGTTGTCATGTGCAATAAGTGAAATTGAAATGTGCAACACAAAGGGTACGATGTTGTGGCATTATGTGGAAGCTAAATTGTGCATTAGGTGAATTTGAAATGTGCATTAGATGAAATTAAAATGTGCAGAACAAAAGGTACGATGTGATGTTATTTTTGTACGCCTTATTCTGCACATTTCAGTTTCACCTAATGCACATGTGAGTTTAAATTTTTATTCTGCACATTTAAATATCGTCTATTGCACATTACAGTTTCACCAAATGCACAATTTAGTTCCACATAATTCAATCCAACGGTCCAGATTCGTTCTCATTTTTCTCCTAGGATCCGTTCTTACCGGAACCGCTCCCTATATATATATATATATATATATATATATATATATATATATATATATATATATAGGTGAGATCACATACAAACCATGCTTAACTTACTAACCTACAAACTCAATAATATGCAATACTTTGAACTTCAATATGTAGTACAAATAATGTAAAGATGCACTCTTTGAATTTCATTATGCAATACAAATAATGTAAATATGAAACTGCTATTTTATGGATTGAATAATATGAAACACTTTGAACTTCAATGTGCAATATAAATAATGTAAAGATGATTTGAATGGGAGTACTAGTTTGTATGTGATCCCACCCCTGCATCTTTAAATTATTTTTACTGCATATTGAAGTTCAAAGTTATGCATATTATTGAGTTTGTAGGTTAGTATTTTAAGCATGGTTTGTATTTGATCTCTTGTCTATATATATATATATATATATATATATATATATATATATATATATATATATATATATATATATATATATATATATATATATATATATATATATATATGGAGTGGTCTGCGTTGCTATCTTCATTCGAATCAAAGTCTTTTGCATCTAGTACGCCGATGAAATCGCATTTTTTGCATTTTTTGGGACTATTCTGCGTTGCTGAAAGCCTAAAGCGAAAGGAAAAGAGATTCCGATGGACTCCTTAATAGCGATTCGGAGAAGCGGCGGCGGCGGCCTCCTCGAAGGCCTCTATAAAGTTATTATGCGGCGCAACCCCGTCTATGTGACCTTCGTCATCGCCGGTGCTTTCCTCGGTGAACGGGCAGTAGACTATGGAGATAAGAAGATCTGGGAGAACAACAATGTTGGGAAGCGTTACCAAGATATTCCAGTTTTGGGACAGAGGCCATCTGAATGAACTGGGCCAGAGTGTGTTGAATGTGATAAAGCTTGATGTGTGCATGCAAGATCTACGTGGACATGCACACGTAGGAATTCATTTATTAAAAGGTTTTTAATTAAGTTTATTTATTCATTAAAGATTAAGTCAAGGTTGTTAGCATGATTAGAGCTATTTTATAGGAGTTGTGTGAGTCAAGTAATTTGATATGGTTAGACATGGTTCGTGGCTTTCTTTTAGGAGTTAGTTACTTAGCACGTACTACTCTTAAGTTCTGTGATGCAGGGGTCTGGCAATGGCAGTTCTGTGAACCAGCAGTCTTTGTTCAAGGGAGTGAACTATCATTTTTGGAGTCTCAAGATGAAGACATTGTTCAAGTCTCAGGAGCTGTGGAGCATGGTTGAGGATGGGTTTGTTGATGATCAGCCCCAGGAGCCTAATCAAGCTCTTAGAGAAAAGAGAGAGAAGGATGCTACACCTCTTTTTCTCATACAACAAGCTCTTGATGATGTTGTGTTTCCTCGCATTGCTGCAGCATCCACCTCTAAGGAGGCCTGGAGTATTCTAAAACAAGAATACATAGGAGACAAGAAAGTCATAATGGTCAGATTACAATCACTCAGGAGGGAGATGGAGAATGCACACATGAAGGACAAAGAGTCAGTGCAGGACTATCTCTCCAGAATTACAAACATTGTTCAGCAAATGAAGTCCTATGGTGAGGACATCAAACCTCAGCAGGTTGTGAGCAATGTGATGAGAAGCCTCACACCTAGATATGGGCAGCTTGTGTGTGCCATTGAGGAATCCAAAGATCTAGAGATCTATACATTTGAAGAATTGAACGGCTCTCTTCAAGCCTATGAAGAGAGGGGCAGTAGTGAAACTGAAAGAGGTGAGGAACAGGCTTTTCAAGTCAAGGAGGAGGCACCCAGGGAACAACCTTTCCAGTCTTCAAGCAGGGGAAGAGGGAGAGGTAGAGGAGGCTTACACTAGTAAAAAATTGCCTTACAGTGACACTTTTATAGTGACACTTTCTAATATAATACCCTCTAATAACACAAAAGTGTCACTATTGTACAACACAAATATACAGTGACACACATTTTTTTATTTGCACTATTCCACTTACTGGCGTGCAGAATTTTAATCTCCATTGGTCACTTTTCCACTTAGCCGGCTCTTTCCCTTTTTTCTACAGACAAACCCCAACTTCATCGCGATCTCAATCGATTGGCGATTATTGTCTTTCTTGGCCCGACCACCTGACTCCATGTCCTCGCATCTACTTCATGAAAGATTGTCATCTGGTTCAGGTATGTGATTTGTTTTTCGTCTACTCCATAGGTCGTTCGCGATGTTTCTGTAATCCCTCATCTCAGTCGATGGGATATTGAGTCTGGGCTCCGCTCGCTTCTGTAAGCCCTCGTCCTTGTTGTCTGTATAACCACTTGTCCTGATTTTTTCTTTAATATGTCATCTCTGTTGCAGGAGGTACGCGTGTGACCCTCGGACCTGGCAGGGATAGGGTCGTCGTTTCCTCTGCTAGGGTTCCTTACCAATTGCGGGTCGGGTCAACTGCTGGAGTAATTCTTGTTTCGTGGATTTCATATGAGTCGGCGGATGGTTGGCCTAGACAGTTGGATGATGTCTACACTCGTCTCCTCAGAACCCTCGCTCATCTTAACCCTATCCCTTCTTCCATTCTCGGCCAGATATTTTCTCCTCGGTCAAGCAGTAGTCATCTAAGCTCCCAGCATTCTTAGTCACAATGCTTTTCATAATTTTAAAAATTTTAGGTATGTAAGTGGTTGAGGTTTTCTTCAATACCAGATTCCACTACTGAGTGAACTGCTAGTTACATCTGAGATTCTCTTCATGACTTCATGTCACTGTTTGTTGTTATAGTGTGCTTATTACATTTTTACCATGGTATGCGGATCATGTGCTTGTCAAAATTATTGTGTTTTAGCTTTATTATATATTTGATAGACTTAATGTTCTAAACTGTTTATTTGAGTTTGCTTTTCATTTTACTATGTTCTTATGCATATCACAAGCCTTTTTGACAGTTAATTTATAAAACAATCTGTACCATAATTTGTATAAATATGGATTAGAGAAAATGAAAATTTGATTTAACTGAATCAGCGATTTATAATTTTAACTTGAGTATTTGATAATAGAAAACAAAATAGCTCAAACATTGAAATGAATAGGTTAATTTGCTTCATATCTATATTGGTTAACTAATTTCATTAAACATCATGTTCCAATGTTATTGCTTTCTATATTCTAGATGCAACTTACTTAAAGTTGCTTTTGCTTTATGAAACCTTCTGTAGCTAGGCAATACCTAATTCTTTGACTTAAAGTAGTGGAAACTAATGATACATATGCTTTTCCTTATAATGCATACCTTGACATCAGATGGAGCAGCTGAAGGAATTATTTAAGCAACCTGATATATATGAAAGGTTAACCAGATTCTTAGCCCCAACTATATAGGAGTTAGATGTTGTCAAGAAAGGCTTTCTTTGCAAAGTAATGCATACCTGACCAGTTTGGCTTTGATTTTGAATATGCTAAAGCATCTTTTAAATGAAAATATCAGTTATATAGATCTACTGATGATATATATAGCTTTTGGGGGGCAATGCATTGAAATTAGCATCTGGTGGCAATGAGTTTAATTTTCTACTCTTTTACTTTTTTCCCTATCAGACTGCATTTAAAAGGTTTCACATCATTTGTCCAAACTTGAAATTGCAGTCTCATTTTTTTGCATTTGTCTTTTTCAGATTTAATTTATTTTGTTTACTTATGGACAAGGCTGATTAGCAGAATAGACGCGTATTGGTTCAACTGTGCCTTGTCCGCTCTCGAGTCCCGCCCTGCACGGTTGCGCCCTTTGTCCTCTGCCCCTGCCTACTCGCTGAAGAGTAGTAAGAGTACATTCAAGATGCCTTATCAAGTGCTTATTAAAAAGTACTTGTAGTGGTTTACTAAGAAATCATTTTATATCGATGCACTTAAACCATAAAGTATCCATATATGCTCTAAAGTAATGATTCAATGTTGTTTCTGCCTTTCTGGTATACAAGTTATGAAAATATACTGCATCCATTGTATGACATCTCATTGATATATTTTCGATAATGTATTAGGTTGAAATCTCGTTCCTAATTGTAGATCCCTTAAAGTTCATTTCAACCATTTTATTGGGTTTTCGTGTACTCATGTTATCTATGGAAAAGATATTATTGAAGGGACAAGCATTTTAAGGTATGGATTTATTTGTCAATCTCAGCTATTCTTTTGATTTTTAGTATTTGTATTAATTAGTTGATGACTTCTTTCTCATACTCTATACTCTATACCTTTTTTCATTTCTGGTTTGCTTTTTCATTTATTAGTATTGAATGTATGTGTGTTACTTGTTCAAAGTAATTCAGGTGTTTCTGTTTCATAAACACAATATCATTCAGTCCTGGATGTAGATTCATGTGTGCCATTAATTGTATAAATAGTAACAAAAGCCATCAATTATATTCTTGTGTTTATATATATATCAAACATGGATAATTGTATATAGGCTAAAGGGTCAAATAGGTACATGAACTAACTTAAAATGTTCAATTAGCCCCTTGTATAGGAGGTTCTGCTCGACCGTCGCCAATTGGGGAAGTTCCCGGTAAATATTTTTGATAAATTTTTCGAGCATCTTCTTCATTAGTTCTAGTTTACCCATATCAAATTTCAGCTAAAAATTAAATCGGAAAGGCAGTCAAATGATTTTCCGAAATGTACTGCGCTGTTTAACTGCGCAGTTATCTTCAAAAAATCATTTGACTGCCTTCCCGGTTGCATATTTAGCTGAAATTTGGTATGAGTAAATTATACTTAATGAAGAATATTCTCAAAAAATGTCATCAAAAAATTCCACCGGAAACTTCCGCAATTGGCGACGGCCGGGCAGAACCTCCTATTTAAGGGGCTAATTGAACACTTTAAGTTAGTTCATGTACCTATTTGACCTTTTAGCCTTGTATATATTTGTATAAAGTGGAGTACATTTTTATCATTAAATATTATATACACATCTATATAAACCCCTCTTTCAAGTTTTTTACTAAATCCATTTTGTAAACTTGTAGTGCTTGATGAAGTGTTCTAACTGCCATCACTTTTTTTTGCAAGGTCACTGGGGCAGGTAGCACCGGATCTTACAGCTTTTATCCGTGCCAAGGCAGCTGCTTATCCTATTTTTGAGATGATCGAGAAAAATGTGGCCAACAAAACTGGCTCGAAGAGTGGGAGGAAACTGAACAAATCAGATGGACACATCCAATTGAAGGATGTTGGATGTTGTGTCTTGATACCCCGGGCAAGATTGGTGTTGGATGTTGCTGGATTTTTTGTCATGTTTTGTCCAGGCTCCATTTTTTGATTTTGCATACCTAGAATGCAAACTTCAACTACAATGTAGCTTTAGTTTTGAAATGAATATTGTACTTTAAACGTTCCATCTATGGTTTGAGATTTATTGATTTTGTTATCGTTTATGGGTTTACTGAATATTGAATTGGAATTTCTAAAATACAATTGATTTGGAATTTCAAAATTATATTGTTTTAGAATGTTGAAACAATACAAAACATAGTGGTACCAAAGTGTCACTATTTAGTGATACTTTACTGTCACTAGAGTATATGATGTAAAAGAGTCACTGAATAGCTATGTCGCCAATGTGTCACTATATTGTGATATCGTAGTGTCACAATTCTGTGACACTTAAAAAGTGTCACTTGTACTGTCACTAGTCCCCACTTTCAGCGACACTTTTTTAGTGTCGTAGAAACTTCCAGTGATACTAATTTGATGTCATTAAAAGGCATTTTCCTAGTAGTGAGCTTTAGGGGTTGATGCACACTAATTAGTAGTACATAATTACATGTTTTTATGTTTGATTTATGTTAATTGTTTGACGTTTTATTTAGTTTGTAAACATTTATGTGATTTCAGTTGTAATTGTATTTTAGTCTATTTTTGTCAGTTGTAAAGTTTAGTTAGGATTTATGGTTTGGAAAGGGAGACTTTGAAGTAAAGAAAAAGAAGATTTGGCTGCCCAGGAGCAAATACCCGACCGGGTATAAGACTTGACCCGGTCGGGTAAGAAGTGAAAAACGAAAATGCAAAGAAAGTGCATGGCCCGGTCGGGCCCACTACCTCACCCGGTCAGGTGAGAAGTGACCGGGGACAACCCGGTGTGCAAAGATCACCCGAACGTGTAGAAAATCCAATTTTTGCACTCACCCGATCGGGTCCCCTACCCCACCCGGTCGGGTCTGACTTGACCCGGACACTTTAACATGCTGAAGATCGCCAGATGTGGAGGATATTTGATTTTGACATGGACCCGGTCGGGTGAGTACTTGACCCGGTCGGGTACCTGGCCAAAGGTGTTGAAAAACACCTATAAATAGCACACTTTTTCTTCACAAAAAATCAATCCCTTCTTCCAATCTCTTTAGCTCAGTTTAGAAAAGCATTTCTTTATATTTTTCTAGCTATGTTTAGTCTCCAAATGAGGAGCTAAACTTCCATTCTTGGTGTTGCTCTTGAAGCTTGTTGATTATTAAAGTTGTGAGTTATTTTCTTAACTTCTTTCCTTGAATATTAATTAATAGTTCTTTCCTTAATATCATCTCTATATTAATGTTGGGGAGTGTTGCTAAGATGACAATTAGTTAACATCTCGACATTAGTTAGAATGGTATTTTCTTCCTCTATATTAATATTGAGGAGTGTTGCTAAGATGACAATTAGTTAACATCTTGATATTAATTATAGTAGGATTCATCTTCATTAATAATATTCTTCCTTGAATATTAATTAATCCCTACTCTTATTTCATATTAATATTTTGAACATTACTTAAAGGATCAACTAGTTTTGTTTCATATATTAATTATTACTAGAAACGATCAACGAACCGATGGTTAATCGTTGATGGTTTCACAAGTAAGTAACTTCGGTTTATTAATGCACGGTCGTGGTTAATAAACTTAAGAGGGATTAATTTTGTTGGTTAAACCGAAACCGCTTGTGTTGAGGTTATCAATCTCAATTGATTTCATCAAGGAGTTAGAAAGATTAAATGCTACTATTAAATCGGTATAAGGCGTTGTTCTATATTTGATTAATAGTAAGGGTTATTAATGAACGGTCGTTGTTAATAACTACCCTCGATGAAGTGGATATACTCCCCGATTGAGTATTCGAGAGGGAATAAGTTATAGATATAACAATGATCGACTAAAATATATCAACAAGTGGAAAGTAGCAATGCCAAGTCCTTTTTATCTTTGAATTAAACACATATAGGTTGTTCATCTTAGTTCTTAATTAAATTAAATCACTCAATCCAAATCCCCCCTTTTTATTTACTAAGTATCATAAAAATAGAAATATTCCTTTCCTTGTGGATACGAACTCTACTACGCTATACTACGTATAAGTGTTTAGTATTGAATTTATTTTGACGCACTCACGACAAGTGCTCGTCAGGGGTGCTCGCAGAGGAAGGGGTAAAGGGAGAGGTCATCCCAACAATGAGGGGAGGCAGGACTACTCCAAGGGAACTTCTAAGGGTCCAATCAAGTGTTACTATTGTAACAAGCCTGGGCATAAAGAAGCATCATGCTGGAAGAAAGAGGAGGATAAGGAGCAAAGGAAGTCAGAAAAAAAGTCAAATTATGTTGAGCATGGACAACTCTTCCTTGCTCAGCATAATTCTGATCAGGAGTGCAGCTCAGTTTGATATGTGGATAGTGAATGTTCTAATCACATGACCAGCTCCAAATCCATGTTTAAGGACCTGGATGATTCCAAAAAAGGTGTGGTGAGGCTTGGGGATGGAAAGCAATTGACAGTAGAAGGTCTGAGTACTATTTTGGTCCCCACAGCTCAAGGAAAAACTAAACTCCTTTGGAATGTGCAGTATGTTCCCCAGCTTGCACATAACTTGTTAAGTGTAGGGCAACTTCTGTGTAGAGGTTACTCAGTGGTCTTTGAAAGTGGTGGCTGCACTATCAAAGACAAGCTGACTAATGAGACTATAATATATGAAGGTTCCAATGGGTAGAAACAAAGTATTTCCATTGGAATTGATGAAGGGCACAAATCATGCACTATTGATTAGAGGAGATGAGAGTGCCAGGGTCTGGCACCTCAGGTACGGCCATTTAAATATGCACAGTCTAAAATTACTAGGTACCAAGGAGTATGTGTTGGGTTTACCTTCTATTGGTGACTTAGAGTTTTGTGAAGGTTGTGTGTATAGGCATGTGGGTCCTTCCCTATAGGACAAGCTTGGAGAGCAGGTGAAGTCCTTGAGTTAGTTCATGCAGACCTGTGTAGGCCTATGCAGACTGAGTCTCTTGGAGGAAGCAGGTATTTCTTCTTAATCACAGATGATTTTAGCAGAATGTAAGGCAGGTTTACTTTCAAAAGAGTAAGGCAGATTCATTTGAAAACTTCAAGAAGTTCAATGCTCTTGTAGAAAAGCAAAGTGGAAGGGTTGTAAAAGCTCTAAGCACTGACAGGGGAGGAGAATTTCTTTCTGAGGAATTCATTAGTTTCTGTGAGGATCATGGCATAAGAAGGGAACTGACTGCACCCTATACCCCTGAGTAAAATGGGGTTGCAGAAAGAAAGAATAGGACAGTGATTGAGATAGCTAAAAGCATGATGAAAGCTAAAGGATTGCCAAACAAGTTATGGGGTGAAGCTATAGCTACTGCAGTGTACTTACTCAACATGTCACCTACAAAAGCTGTAGATGGTGCTACACCTTTTGAGGCATGGAGGATGAAGAAGCCATCAATTGGTCATTTGAGGATCTTTGGGTGTATAGCCTACATTCTAGTGAATAAAAGAACCAAGCTTGATGGAAAGGCATAAAAGTGTGTGTTTGTTGGCTACTCAGTTCAATCTAAGGCCTACAGATTGTTTGAACCTATCACTGGTAAGATAATTATCAATACGAATGTTGTGTTTGATGAGGATTCATCATGGAACTGGGACAGTCAGACCAAGGGAGAAAACACTATAGAACCCACAATCTCTCTTGATGATCATGCAGAAGTTACAGAAGTAACTCCACCTCCAACACCACCTACTACACCACCAAGTTCATCTGGTAGTTCTAGTAGTCAGAGTACTACTGGGTCTGAGAGTGACTCACCACCACGTAAGGTAAGGTCATTAATTGACATTTATGAGTCATGTGATTTTACTCTAGTTACCTCTGAACCTGCAACTTTTGAGGAAGCTGTAACTCAGGATGAATGAAAACAAGCTATAGAGAAGAATGATACATGGGAGCTTGTTACACTGCCTAAAGATAGGAGTGTAATAGGGCTAAAGTGGGTGTACAAAACTAAGTACAACCCAGATGGAAGCATTTCAAAGCATAAGGCCATATTGGTTGTAAAAGGCTATGCATAGCAAGAAGGTATTGACTATGGGGAAACCTTCTCACCTGTGGCTACACTACAACAATATTTTGTTTTTATAGCATAAAATTATAGCATTTGTGCCTTTATTGCTATAGATTTACGCCTTTAATCTTGATTATTACTTTGGAATAAAAAAATAGGCATCTAATAACAACAACAAAAGTGGTATGGTACGTAGACATGCGCGAAATAAGAAAAGGTCGGGGCAAAGAACGACGCCTTAGGTTTTTCGGTACATAGTAAAAATTTAACCTCTGAACCTCATCTCTTTTATTTTAACCGCTTTTCCTTCCCCGATGTCGCTCAAACTCAAGCTACCGTTTGGTTCTTAATAGTTGTTTCTCAGCACTGCCATTACAGCGGCTATCGAGCAAGGATTCATCACCGTTTCATCTTCGTAAGTAATTACCATGTCTTCTATACTCTATCTTCTGGAGTACCAATTTTGATTGAGATTTTTTTCCTTCTTTTCGATTTGATTTAGGTGTGTAGATTATATTTTCTATTTCAGTATCTATCTGAACTCAATTTGAACTCAATTTGAGTTCGGTATTCTCTATGGCGATCAAATCTAGGTCTCCACTGTTTTTTAATCAATTTTCAATAAAGGATGATATGCACTAATTAGTAGTGCATAAATGTTTGTTTTTATGTTTGATTTGTGTGGATTGTTTACCGTTTTAGTAATTTGAGAACATTTGTTTGATTTTAATTGTAATTGTATTTTAATCCCCATTTGTGAGTTGTAAAGTAGAATTAGGCATTATGGTGTTAAAAAGAGGACTTTGAAGTGAAGCAAAAGGTGATTGGACTGTTCAGGAGCCAAAACCCGACCGGGCATAAACACTTAACCCGGTCGGGCAAGATTTAACAAACGAAGGAGACTGGAAATTGCACAGACCCGGTCGGGTCCCCTATACCACCCGGTCGGGTCGGATTTGACCCGGGACAATTTAACGTGCAAAAACACAAAAACGTGGAAGATTATCTGATCTTGACATGCACCCGGTCGGGTGGGCTCTTTACCCGGTCGGGCACCCGATCAAAGGTGTTGTAAAACAACTATAAATAGCTCCATTTTCCTTCACTTTTATTCATTCCT